AATGACCTTTCAATACCCGGAGGTCCTCTCTCAAAAATATTTATTTTTGAAGCTCTATTACTGAAGTATTACTGCTTTTCTTGCAATTTCTGTAGCGATCGAAAAAACTACCAATTTTAAGGGCATATATTGGAAACTTTGCATTAAAGTCGTAATTGTACACTTATATTTTAGAACGGTCATATAGTGAATGGATTTAGAACTTCACATTTTGTGTAAAGTTTCCACAATGATAATAATGACTGAACTCGACTCGAGCACATTTTTCCATGCACAGTCAAGAATTCAAACCACCAAAATCTGGTGTTTTGCAAGTGGTCCACGAGAGTGGTCCACGAGTGTAGTCCACGGACCAGGTCCACGAAGTAGTCTGCGGACCTGGGGTCCGCGTTTTGTCGTTTCCCGAATTATGTGTGGTATATATTTGAATTTATAATGGTCTTATCACGTTGGGTATAATGCTTTAGTCATTTGAAACCACGGCCCCCAACCCCCGGGACATAGCGGGGAATTTAACACTGACAAGTGTTAAAAAAACATTAATTCCCCCGTCCCTGGGGCAAACTGTTCTGTTAAAACCCCCGTACTGCCGGGCTTCAATATACCTAAACTATAAATACAAGACAAATTCCGCATCATGCATGCATTTGAGTTACCGGTCTTCCGCAACTTCCAGATTGAATTTCCGTCAAGTATTCGAGGTCGGTGTTTAAATACTGAATATAATTATATAGCTATCAATTACATGGCCCTACAGATTAGTCACCAAGTCTACCTCAGCTTGCTGTAAGTTTTTTAAGGAGCGAAAGAAAAACTGAGATCTGAAAACGATAGAGCAAAATGTAAAATAAGCGAAAAACCGCTGTTAAGCTGCCCGTGTTTTCTCTGACGCGCAGTGCATTTTACAACATTATTCTAACAATGGAAAAGGCAATGCCTGATGCTGATTGAATATTAACAGCAACGGATGGCTGACAGGCTGACGATTAAGTATAAAACATAAAGTTTCAAACGCACGTAACTGTTGAACAAAGTTTTTCGCCAGTGCCCGGCTATCCCCGGTGTATTCATATATAGCGGATGTTATATCCCGGGTAAATTCCCCGGTTATAAAAACATTTTTAGTTAATTTCACCGCGGTCCGGGGCATAGCACGTTGTTAAATAGCGTTAAATCCCGGTTAATCCTCCGCTATGTCGCGGGGGGGGAGGTTCCGTGGTTTCAAATGACTGAAGCATAAAATCATTTAAAATGTTGTGATTCCTTAGATTATAGCCAAGGGTAAGGGGGGGGAACCGTTGATTACTGATTAGTTATAAAAATTGTTCAGCCTAGCAAGAAATGTACCCCCTAAAACAGGATATTTTAAAAATTGGCCCAGGATTGCTGAGTAATGACATTTTTGCAAATAATATTAAATGAAATATTAGTTTAATTTGTGGAAACACCACATAAATTTATTATTGCAATGCTTTCAATCCGTAAGCTGGTCGTATGTGCAACTGATTTTTAAATTGTAATTTTGCACTTGGGTTTGGAGTATAAAATGAAATTGAAAAAGGATTTGATATTCCAATAGTGTGTTACATTGACCTTTTTTAGGGAAAAACTTCCCATTATTCATGGGTGAACAGAAGATATGGATAGACATATCCAGGGTCTTTTGGTTGGGAGGAGCATACATGGCTCTCTAGAGGGGTCCAGGGGCATGCTTCTCTAAAAATATTTAATTTCTAGGTTATCTGAAATACCATGTTCATGCTTTGGCAAATTCTAACAGTTTTTCCAGAAAATCTACCCCCCCCCCC